AGAAGAGGTCAAATTATCCCTATTTGCAGATGATATGATATTATGCATATGCGATCCCCAAAATTCCACTAGAAAACTTTTAGGATTGATTAATGCTTTTAGTAAAGTGGCAGGATACAAAATCAATTTACAGAAATCAGTAGCCTTTCTATATGACAATAGCAAGCAATCAGAAAAAAAAAATACCCGAGGAAAACCCCCCCTTTTCAATAGCCCAAAAAAAAAAAAATAAAATAAAATATTGAAGAGCAAACCTACCAAAGACATTAAAGATGTCTACAATGAAAATTTCAAAACTCTAAAGAAAGAGATAGAGGAAGACACTAGGAGATGGAAAGACCTACCATGCTCATGGATTGGTAGAATCAATATTGTGAAAATGACAATCTTACCAAAAGCAATTTATAGATTCAATGTAATCCCAATCAAAATACCCATGACATTTTTCACAGACCTTGACAAAATCATCCTAATTCATGTGGAATCACAAAAGAGCTCAGAGAGCCAAAACAATCTTGGGCAAAAAGAAGAATGCTGCGGCGGGGGGCGGGAGGGGATCACCATACCAGATCTTAGCTTATATTACAGAGCTATAGTCATGAAACAGCATGGTATTAGCACAAAAATAGGCATGTAGATCAATGGAACACAATAGATGACCCAAACATGAGTTCATATAATTCTAGCCACCTGATATTTGACAAAGGTGCTAAGAACACACAACGGAGGAAAGACAGTATCTTCAACAAGTGGTGCTGGACAAACTGTATCTCCACCTGCAGAAAAATGAAACTTGACTCTTATCTTTCACCCTGCATGAAAGTCAACTCCAAATGGATCAAAGACCTCAATATAAAACCTGAAACTCAGAAACTGCTAGAAAAAAAAATAGGTGAAGAGCCAGAATGCACTGACTCCATTTGGCTAGCTTCTTCAGACAAGCCCAGACAAGATCAGGAATATTGTAAATTTTTCCAGTTGCTACCTCCCCCCTCCCAGGAAGCTATAGATTAAGAAAGCCCTAAAAGTATAAAAGCCTTATAAGGTATGAACAAAAACTTCTGGCCCTAAAGATATCAGTCAGCACATTCCAATGCCCTAAAGACAGCCCCTACCAATCAAGACTTCCCCCGTACTCAGGATATGGGGCCATCCAATTATTTTAAAAGATGCTTGGCACACGTGGGTTTCTGTGGAGTTCTTCAATAAAAGCCCCTGCCTGC